ACGGATCCATATTTGTGTTTTACGAGAATGACATATGGCTTGTTGAACCAAATGAGAGAGTGCTAGTACCTTCGAAGTGGTAGAAGAAGAGAAAGAATTAAGTGGCAGAAAAAGCGCAAAGGGACAAAGTGACAGCAGATTCAAACCAAAGGGACAAGAATCTTAATCGAGCCATTAAAAACGTTACATGATCAGGCCGTGTATCTAGAAAACCTAGGAATTCTTGTAAACTGCGTGTTACAATAAATGTACAGTTGTGTACTATATGTATGTAGTAGCCTCGAGCCGGCCTCGACCCGAGTCCTCGAGTCTGGAGGGCTCGAGTCCGAGTCCGAGTCATTGCACTCCGAGGCCAAGACCGAGACCGAGACCAAGGAAAATGGTCTCGATCGAGGCCGGTCTCGAGGCCAAGATTGCTTCACATATGTGTTGGCATCTCTCATGTAAGCACGTGTAATGCCAGCACATGTACATCAGGACACGAAATTCAGATTTTGTGCACCAGCCCAGAGGCCTGGTAACAGTAATTTGTACCAGCCCTCACAAATTTGTTTGTAAACTCAATGTCATGTTTCACGCTTTTATTCTTGATTTCGAATTTGTAAAATGTTGATAAGTTATGGCGTGATATCCTTCAGGTAAACAGTAATGTAGGCTTTTTGCTATAAATAATGTAGCTATAAAAAATGTAGGTACTCGCTAACACGGCTGATATGTTACCGGCCCTCCAAATAATTGGCCGGCATATGCCGGTGGGCCGCGGTGGTGATTTTGCACCCTGTACATGTAAGCACATGTGATGTAAGCAGTTGTAATACATTTTAAATTGACTTATTTCTTCTATTATATGAACTCGATCTCAGTATCGCCCGTAGGGTTTATGTCTCTCTGACCTCTGTTTGACCTGGCTCGTTTAGCTATTTCTGACTAACCCTAACCCTAATCCTAGGCCTAACCCTAATCATATCAGATAGTTACCAGGGTTAGGGTTAGTCAGAAATAGCTAAACGAGCCAGGTCAAACAGAGGTCAGGGAGACATAGACCTTATCTGCCTCAGTATCACGTAAATATTCTTTGAAGTCGCATAAATTTGGGTCAGTATGTGGTGCGTTTGAATTGCTGCCAAAATTGTTACCACAAAACAATCGAGTGCTTGTTGACTGGTGCGTATCGTTATTGCGCACCAGGGTGGGGGGGGGCACTCGCCTTGGAACTGGGTAGGGGGGTGCCTCGGGGACCTCACGGGCTGACAAAGTCAGCTATGCAGCTTGTAGAATCGCATGAATGTCCGTCCGTGCGTGTGTGTGCGTGCGTCCGTTCGTCCGTGTGTCAACAGTTATGGCACAAATCTTAACCGCTCAACATACGGTCTTGATATTTGGGACGTCGGGGGGATCGCGAAAAGGACTCGTGATGTCGAATTTGGGGGGTCAAGTGTCAAAGGTCAAGGTGTGTCAATGGAAGGGGAATATTTCCCCCTTAACTTAAAGTATAGGAGGAAATACGGAATTGCGACACAAATCTCAACGGCTTGACCTACGCTCTTAATATTCGATGTATAGTGTGATGGGGAGTAAACCCATCACCAGTGCGAAATTGGAGGTCACAGGTCAAAGGCCAGTGGGGGGAAAGGTCAGATATCAGACATTTTTTGAGGACATGGTCTAACGGACCAAGTGGAAAACTATTTTGTTTCAGCGCTGACCTACCATTTTTATCACATTATTGAAAGGACCATGAAATGTGCTTTCTGCTGACGTGCGAGGAGTAAGTGTCTGATAACCTTTTGACCCACAAGAGGAGGGATAAACACGGATTTGTTGACTGTTAGCAAAGGACTGAACTGCTTTTGCTATTAGAGCTGCATTGCAGTACACGTCAGTTGAGCGCTGTCGCTCTGCGGCACTTGTTTTGTATGACAAATTTACCATAATATCATGCAATTCACAATCTCCCTTTCTTAAATACGTATCAAAATACGTATCGTGGTGTGACCCTAGTGTATCGTTACACATCTACTCAGTGCACTGCCAAGTTTGGCAGGACATTAAAGAGGAGGGAAATTGGGGTTGAGCATTATTACGCAATTTTATTACTATTATTACGCAATATCTTCAAGCCAAGGGTCTAATTGCCATAATAAAACTGTCATATAACTTTCACCTCGTAGTTGCCAAGGTCCTATATGTTTATAGGATCTGATCTAACATATCGTCTTCACGCGAAGAAAGGAGCTAGAGCCATTATACTGTTGCAATTTAGACACCGACTTGAAGATATTAGGAGTGTATAATTATGAATCAGGGGTTAATAATGACAAATTTGTCATTATTAACCCCTGTTATTATATATATATACTCTATATAACTATACTTATTATTATTATTATATCCTCTTAATTATTAGACCATTCCTCAATATATTTGTTCACAATTGCATTGAATTGAGCACATTCCAATGCTTACATGTTTGAATATGACACTTGTATGTAGGTAGTTATTGTCTGCTTGGCAGCTGATTCTGTACGCGCCTAGGGCCGGTAGGAGTTTTTGGGCTAAAGTTAGCCATTGAACCTTATTCACATAGATAATTAAGCTGATTAACATGCAAATGTACAGCCGGCCGTAGGCTCTGGGTGGGGCCAAAGTGGCTACATAACAAATAACTCCCTTTGGTCTAATAATATCTGTGCTTGTCTGCCGTTTTGGCGTGCTTGGTGTGCTATATAATGCTTCCTAATGCTAGTAATAAAATGTAGGTTATTTATCCGTTCCTAATTACAGGTCATAAAATGCTAGTTATTTCATGGTTCCTTAATGCCCACTACTGACTTTTGTTCTATTGTTGTCTGTTCATGACTATTGAATTATACAATATTCTGTATCCTGCTTGCAGTGGTCGGCACTCCCCCCACCAGCACATTTAGCGCGCAAAATATCTGACATAGAATTGCCAGAGCATTCTTGGAATCAAAGTCGGACGGAATTTGCGGAGGTGGGTATGCGATCAACGGGAAACCAGCTTTCATTGGGCTAAGGCCAATAGAATTACAGATCAGTGTGAAAACTTTCGATTTTGCATCGCGTGCCAACACTGGCTCGCACGGTAAATTTGACAAGCAGTAACCATTTACTATATTGTGGAATGCAACTACTCCAAAACTCAATGACCCTGTCCAACAAACCATTTGCATATAGCCATGCTTATATTATTCAATCAATCTTTGTCATGCGTTAACTAGAACTGTTACTCTGCCAACTTTTCAGTGAATTTATTATATTTGGAAATGTGATTTCGTGTCGTTACCTGAGAAGCGAACTGATGCTCAGAGTGCGCAAATTATTATTACCTAGATATCTGAACAAAGTTGGATCTAATTCATATGCAATGCAGGTGGCGCAAAAATTAAAAAGGGAGTCCCGCCGAGTCAAATTACTCCCTGATTTACTGCCGGACTCCCTGATTTACAGATGCAGAGAGTCGATATGATCCCTGAAAATTCTGCTAACGTAACTAGCCTTCGCTTCAGAGCACTGCCTCCCGGAATGAACCCGTCATTTTTTCATGCCAATCGTCCAAAGAAAATTTGGCAGAGCTGCTACTGCATGAATCTTAAAAATATGCACATAGCGCGCTCGTTTGAACCTCAGATTGCGACTCCGCTCATTTTGCCAAGTTGCCTGAGTGCGTTGTGCCGTGTTATTGGGACTGGTCTATAATCCTGCGGGTAGTTGGTCCTACGGGTCGTTGGACCTACGGTTTAGGTCTATAATCCTGCGGGTAGTTGGTCCTACGGGTCGTTGGACCTACGGTTCGGGTTTATAATCCTATGGGTCGTTGGACCTACGGTTCGGGTTTGAATCCTATGAGTCGTTGGTCCTATGGGTCATTGGTCCTACGGTTTGGGTCTATAATCCTACGGGTCATTGGTCCTACGGTTTAGGTCTATAATCCTACAGGTCGTTGGTCCTACGGGTCGTTGGTCCTACGGGTCGCTGGTAGGACGACCCGTAGGACCAGCGAACTGTAGGACCAACGACCCCGTAGGACCAGCGAACTGTAGAACCAACGACCCCGTAGGACCAATGACCTAGCTGTCGGTTGGACTATAGAACCTGAACCGTTTTATTTGCTCATGCCTAATTGCCAATGAGCCAGCTATTCATGAGCATTTTCTGAGGCCATGTTCTGAAAGAGTTCCATTAGTCAGGTCCGTTGGTGCAAAATATGGGCCGAATCATTACAGGAGTGACAAAAGTCCTAAACTTGGCACAGTTGTAGCTTATGACAGTACTATAATTATTAGAGGGGGTGCTCAATGCAGATATTCCTTAGAAGTGAATTACAGATGATTAATTGTTCGAACCACCCGTCTCCGAACCCCCCTACCGTGCCCTCCTGTACTGCGTTTAACCCCCCCCCCCCGCGCATACGCTATTACGCTATAGGCGGCATGAAAGTGTATTAACTCTAACTAATATCTGGAGAACGAGACAGTACTGTCGATAAAAATCGCCACGTGTGTGGCACCCAGCGACAATGCAACCATCTGTCAGCAACATACCACTGTATGAACTGTACGTGACCTGTTCAAACCACACCACGGGCGCTGCCATATTTGATCACGTGCTTCAAATCATGCATTTGATTGGTTAATCCAAAAACTGTTGCCTGAATCCGTCGCAAACGTAGCGATTTTTCAGCGACTTGGCAACAAATATCAAACGTGTTTGATATTCCAGCGACAAGTTTCTGGCGTCAAAATCGCCATCGCCGTGCAGCGCACACGTGGCGATTTCTCGGCCAGTACTTTCGATAAAAATTGCCACGTGCGCACTGCGCCGGGCTTAAGGGACCTCACTACATGAAAGAGGCCATGTTCAGCCAGACTAGCTGCTAAACCATGACTTTGCAAACAGTATTTGTTAACCGACTGAAACTGATCTGGATCCGTTACTGGAGATAGCTCACTTCCATCAAAATTGAGTGCTGTAGGCCTCTGAGATGGCAGCTGTAATGTAGCATTGCCACATTAGGGTGAGTCATCACGATCCACCACCTATTTTCTTCTGACCAAAGTTCTAGAACGCAACCTCAGTTTGGAACAATGAGCTATGCAACACGTCAGGCGAGTGGCGTGGCAGGCATTATCACACCGTGGAACCTTCCCATGTATCTGCTGACTTTCAAGATTGCCCCAGCCCTTGCCGCTGGGAACACAGTTGTGGCGAAACCCAGTGAGATAACTTCTGCAACTGCATGGATGCTGTGCAAGGTGTTTGAAGAGGCTGGTAGGTTGGGTAGTCTGTGCTCAGAAGGGATCTTATGTTGCCATTGTATTCTTACATGCAGTTCTTATTTTGATCTGACAGCTGCCATTGGTTGTCATTGCATACTATGGAATGTCAGCATAAATCTAAGCAATCATATCTACAGTCCTTGAAATTAGGTACATATTCATGGCCATCCGAAGGGGGGGGTGCGATGGGTGCGGTCGCACCCCCTTTTTTCCATGATTCTTGATTCAACCAAAATTATTTCTGAAATATTGGTCATAAATTGTGTGCAGAAATGCTCCAAAAGGCTCAGATTACACCAGAGAGCATCTAAAACCCCCTGAGCTTCCAGGGCCCTTCCGCGGGCCCTGGACCCCGGCCGTGAGGGACTTCGCGCTCGTGATGTGCACTTTGTGCACATTATTACACTGAAAATTTGAAATACTCTTGTCATGCGCCACTCCCTGTTTGAAAAGCTTGGGACGGGCCTGATATTTATCTTGTGGGAGAGGCAATGAAATTTGCTTCTTGCAAGAGTTTGTTCAATCAATCTCTGATTGGGTGATAAGATGCACAACGATTTGCAAACGAAGGTTGCATTTGTCTAAAATCTGTGGTCATAAAAAGTGGGTACTTTTATTTCTGGAAAAATCATGTAAAAATGTTTTGCCCAAGGTGTATGAACCCTAGCTCTGCATCACTCTGCAGCATGTAAATACAGCTGTACCTATATACCGTGATAAGCCACTTTATTATAAACAATTAAAGGAACAGTAGCCTCTAGGTTATAGGGTTATTTTCAGCTAATTTAGGTTATAATTGCGCTACATAAAAAGTTTCATGGTTCAATCACTATTAGAAATATTTTTAAAAAATGTTTTAAAACTAACGACTACAGTTTGATTACAACGACGGTGGCGCCACTCAGAAAAAGTTGCGTATTTGCATTTTTATTTTGCAGGTAAATGACCGAGG